TGTAAGTAATAATAAATGTTTTACCTTTCATTGTGCTAAAAAACGTCGGTTTTTGTTGTTTTTTTGCTCTTAATATAATAGCACAATGTGCCTGAAAATAAATTACATACACTCTTCTTTTACCAGCAACTCAGTTTGATGATCCTGATTTTAGAATTTTTATTTACTTATAGCTTCAAAATTCTAGCATCAAGGTAATCAAAATATGATTCTGGTCAAAGAAAGTTTATCTCAAACATCCAAACCTCACGTCCATATGACATTCTGAGTTTGTGTATATAACACACTACTTGTACGTTGACCTATGTTCAAATAGTTAACTGGATCGTTATAGTTATTAAATAATTTGTTGTGTTCTTCCCAAGAACTAATATGAAATACCTTTCACACTGTGAACCTCTTTCTCAAAACTAAACAAAGATACCGCTACCAAGATTTCTGAATATGTTCCAGATAGAGGGCGCTTTTTAATGACGAGTATCAATGTTATTGATATTGAGTTATTGTTGGAGTTTTAGAGCTAAGCTGCACAATGGGTTATACGCACTCTGTTCACATCGAGATTCTGTGGTATCCAAACATCTCACAATTATTAACAGAACACCGTTTTGTTTTACAAAAACAAGCATGTAATTCAATGTGATTATGTTATTGGTGCCTGTAAACTTAAATTTCAGCGAAAATTTTACCCATCACGTATACATACTTTTTTTCTTTAAAAAAATGCATGTCGCTTCTATGTATATATATATATCTTTAATACGTTTTATGTTTTCACCTCCGTGTTTCTTTAGAAATGTTGGTTCTGCAACTAACGTCAACATGGCGACCTTTTTATTCAACTCTTTTTAACTAGTAATATTTATATTACCTCAGTAGCGAAAGTTTCCATAAAAAATTACTTGTCCGTATTAAAGTGCAGAACACGCTGAATCACGTTTTCCAAAAAGTTGAATCTGAAGCCTTAATTATCTGACATTCATCAAGGCTTGTTTCAATAACACACAAATCATGTTTGACGAATATATATATTTATATATAAATATATACATATATTATGCATCGTTGACAGTGGTAGCTCGTCGCAAGTATAAACGAAGAATTATGGCGATACCTAAAACCAATCAGATTTCAGTTTTGAATTGTTGTATTCGTTTTTGTTTGTTTTTTTCATCAGGAAAAATTAATACTTCTGAACAAAATTATTTTTTCTTAGGCTTAAAATTCTGCATATCTGTTAAGTTGTAATTGGTTTTTTTGCCCTCCAATCAATCAACTAAATGAGAAAATATCACGATCAAAAGAAAAAAGATGGACGTTTTAAGATGATAGCCAAATAACCCTTTCAATGGATCGTCAAATTTTATTTTAATATCACCAATAATATTATTTGTAAACGAAAACTATTGCAATAAAGATTTTTTTTCCGTTGCACAAGTTAATTGTCTGGCGATTAGTACATGAAATTATTTGTAAGACCTATCCAATATCGAGATTTTGGAACTTTAACTGACTATCAATTTTGACTGCACTAAAATAAATTTCCTGTTATTTGTTAAACATTTAATGGTTCATCTCTCTCTCTCTATATATATATATATATATATCC